AAAATAGCAATGGATTTTCTCTAAGTCTATTACACTGATAGATTCTCGTAAACTCCTTCCATCAGGCTCCAAACATGATGAGGAGCGAAAACAAATCAGATCTAGGTTAACCCAAAGTTTACGGAACGTTCGAGAGCAGTGGTGGGCAACAAAGCGAAATAGATGGAAAAGGCAGCGGCTGTAGGTAGCACCACACAGCTTTTCAGATTAATAAAAGAGACTAGAATTGAGAAGTCAAGTGTTAGACAATTTCGGAAAAAGAAGACACTTATCTGCTCTCAGTATAGACGTTTAGAATGATGGGCAGAACACTTTTAGGGGCAGTTCAATTGTCCTCCAGCTATCCATCATTTCCAAACAGTCTAATTAGAACATTGAAGTTGGCTCCCGACTCTAATTGTAGTTCAAAAAGCTAAAGCTAATCTGAAACGAGGGAGGGTAGCCATTCCAGATGGATTGACTTCAGAGGTCTTGAAGTATGGTGGTTCAATTTTAGCGATTAGATTGACTAAAATGTTAGGCTGACTTCAGACCTGGTCGTGGCTGTATCGACCACATATTTATCATTCTTCGGGTTTTAGAACACAAGCATGCTTATCGGCGCCTGACGATGGTGGTCTTTCTTGACTTTAAAGCAGTATTTGACTCTGTAGACTGGGAGATTCTGTGGCAGTGTCTGTCATTGAAAAGTGTACCTCATAAGTATATAAACCTTGTGAAATCTCTTTACTCGAACACTACCAGTTGAGTGAGAGCTTATGGCGAACTGTCATATGATTTTACAACTTCAAGTGGTGTCCGACAAGGTTGTCCACTATCCTCATTTTTGTTTAACTTCATTATAGACCTATTGCTGGAAACAACACTCTGGTCGACTGAATTTTCAGGAATTGATCTTCTACCAGGAGATCCACTAATCGACTTAGAATACGCAGATGACAGAGTCATGTTTGGTGAAGACGCTGACAAAATGCAGAGTCTTCTGTTAGAACTGAGTAATAATGCCAGGATGTTTGGGATGCGTTTCTCCCCATCTAAATGTAAATTGTTACTCCAGGACTGGCCTGCGTCAACACCTGAACTAAGGATAGGGAGCAAAGTAGTCGAACGCATCGACAACTTCACTTATCTCGGAAGTGTGACCAGCCTTAATGGGTTGGTGTCTGACGAAATCTCAGCACGGATCCAAAAAGCTCGTTTGGCTTTTGCAAACTTACGTCACCTATGGCGAAGACGAGATATCCGTCTATCAATTAAGGGACGAGTATACTGTGCAGCAGTTCGCTCTGTTCTACTTTACGGCTGTGAAACATGGCAATTAACAGTAGAAGATACTCGTAAGCTACTAGTATTTAACCACAGATATCTTAGAAATATTGCTCGCATCTGCTGGGATCACCGGATAAGTAATAGTGAGTTTAGATGCAGAGAATGCTGGTAAATCAGTCGATGAGGTTGTAAATCTTCATCGACTGAGATGGTTGGGCCACGTGTTACGTATGCCTGAACACTGAGTACCACGACTAGTTTGAAGACGGTTGGAGGTTAGGGGCGACCAAACCAAAACGTGGCATCAGTGCTTGAAGTCACTAACTTCTAGTCTGAGCCATATTGGTAGATACAGACTACTTGGTTGGTATCCGCGTGACTATCGTAACCAATGGTTGAAGACTATGTGTGACATGGATGAGAATCGATCACAATGGCGTAGGTGTATACACCTTTTGTCTACCCTTAAACTGTGAGATTAAAAAAGCTTCATACCTTTATGTCTACGAACTATCCTTATACACAATCTTTCTTTTATTTATATATATATATATTAAAGTAACTACTATAAATTTGTTGTTCATCTTGTTGTGTTAATTTGGTTTGGGAACTTGTATCGACGCATATATGTACCTGGTTCTAAACTGTAGCTGACTGACTGACTTTCAAATATAGAACATTTAAATGTTTATTTTAGACATTGTCTTATTCCCTAACTAAACCCATGCCGTTCTTTGGCGGTGTTTTATTAATTAAAACTTAAGTAAGGTACGAATAATAATGGTGATTTTTCAAAAAGCTTCACTTGCCAAAAACCAACATGAAATACTCAACAGGTTTTAGCACAAAATCATACCTATTATCACTGAGAGCTAGCTATGTCAAGATAAAAAGGCAGAAAAAAGCTATGGAAAGGTCAAGTATCAAACTATTTAGAAAGTTAGATTCCACAAAAACGGAAAGTTACAGAGAGTGGTTAAAAAACCTAAGAATATTTTCACAGTCGTAACTGAGTACATTAATGAAATATAAATTTCACTACGTCAATTATAAGTACACAGATACTGACCTCATGTTATCCTTTATATGAACTACAAGTTAAATAAATTCCTCCAATAAGTTCTTATCTAATACCCTGCAATCCATCAGTATGTTTCATGGTTTATTCTTTGGTATATGTAACAACTTAACTCACACTCATTCATAATTTATAGTTACTGAATTTTAACTCATTTCCTAAAGTACG